TTTTTTTTTTTGCTTTCGTTTAATTACAGTTTACGTTTATGACAAATGTACCTAAAAAGTCAATATTTGTAGCTGCTAAAGCACGAATTAATTAAATTAACGTGCAGCTCATCTTCAGTAAAAGATGCACTGTTTGCAGCTGTAGGAAAAAAATACTTGTCAATTCTTCTTTTGAATGCGTTAATTGACGGAGCCTTTTTGCATGACAACGGTAAATAATTTCAATCATTCACAATACGATTTGTGAAGAAATTATGTCAAGCATTATTGTAAGTGAAATCACGCGTTAGTACGTTGGATGGTGATCTGCGAAGAGGTGGATTATGCCAATTAATAATTTCAAAACCGTTTTCAAGTTTAAACTGTTGGGTCAAGTAGCCGCGTCGCCTTCGAGTTTCCAAAGAAGTAAAATTGAGACGCCGACACCTTTCAGCATAAGGTAAACTTGTTATATCATGAGGAATTTTTGTTGCTTTGAGCTGAATTTTTTTAATTTCTTTGATGTCGCCCTTTAAGTAAGGACACCATACCGGAACAGCAAATTCCAGATGCGGCCTAACATATGTAGTATATAGTTTACCCCAAAGCTTAATATCTCTTGATCTAAATGTTTTTTTTAGTAGGCCAAGTATCATATTTGCTCTACGTGTCGCAACCTGTACGTGTTGATTCTATTTTAGATCGTTAGATAAAAAGATACCCAGGTCTCTTTCAATATCCGTTTCCGCTATAATAAGAGATGTATTACCATCATTCATTACATATTCATGATTTATATTTCCATGACTAAAGTGCATAACCTTATACTTTGCAACATTTAATTCCATAAGCCATTCTTTTGACCACTCTGAGATAATGTTTAAATCATTTTGAAGAATCAGACAATCAGCATCGTGAAACTCAGGTCTTATTTCTTGCAACAGTTTAGTGTCATCAACATAAATTTTATGAACTGATTTTAAATTATCCGTTAAGTCGTTTATGTAGATGATGAATAATGTTGAACCAAGTACAGACCCTTGTGGAACTCCGCTTAAAACATCGGTCCAGTCGCTAGAGTGATTACCTAAAACTGTTCGTTGTTTTCTGCTAGTCAAAAATGACTCAATCCATTTGCCAACATTACCATTGATCCCATATGCTTTCAATTTATGTATTAGTCTACGATGAGAAACTTTATCAAACCCTTTTGCAAAGTCCAAAAATGCAATATCGACAAAATTTCTTTTGCTTAACGCTTTTGTAATGTAGTCGATACTTTCCAATAAGTTAGACGTGCATCCTTTTTTGGACATAAATCCATGTTGATTATTTGATGATAAAATGTATGATAAAATATTTTTCACAAGTATGTAAAAGTTACATATTATTCATAAATACATAAACCATTTTTTAAACGATTATCTAAAAATAAACATAGTAAAATGTTACATAGTAAAACTTTGCTATGTTTTGTAAAAAAAAATTGTCAAAGTTATTTCACAAAACACAGCTAAATTGAAAGTTTTTCAAAAAATCTTTGAGATCTGTTTGAAAAAAAAAATTAAAATTATACACACTAAGCCATAACTGTAGGAACACTAAACCATATAAACTATTTAAAAAAAATTTTATTATTTGCCTTAAGTTTTATAAAATATTTTACAATTCTAAAAAAAAGTAAGCGTTAACATATCTCAAACTTATTAATTGCTCATAAATTCAGTCTGAATTTCGGTATAAAATTTCATTTCTCAAATTTCTTAAATGCAGGGTATTTAAGAATTTTGAAAGCATGTCATATTTTCTTTTGTGAAATCGTTTTTTAAATTTATGACTAAATATGGATTTTAACTTATTGACACTTTTAGTATAGAATTAAAACTGTTATGTAAATATTTTTTCCAAAAATACAATAAAAAAAACAAATAAAGTTCCTGTGTGTATTTACTCCGAATGCAAGTGTATATTCAATCTAAATCAAACCTCGTTATTACATAGGACATTTTAAAAGAGTTTTGTAATTTTATTTCAACAAAACTATTTAATAAAAACGATGCCAAAAAACTGCTTTGATTAGAAAATAAATGCTACCATTAAACTACGCGTCTCATCCTCAAACCAGTTTTAAAACATTTACGGAAGCCCCACGCCAATCTCAGTAAAAACCAAGGTTTTATTTGCGGGATTATTTTCACCTCATACGGGACCCATCTGGCACCCAGAACAAATCATAGCCCAAACCCAATCCCAGTAGGCCCAGATCAATCCCATTCAATCCCAGCTTGAACCCAGTTGGGCTGGTTAACTGGGTTCTTTCTTTTTTTCTCTCTCTTTTTATTTCTTGTAAAGAAACATTGGATTTAGAGAGAACTGCCACCCCACAACAGTTATGACTGTTGTGGGGTGGTTTTATGTAACCTACAAATATAATATAGAACTACTTTTAAAACTGTTTCCTTTATTAGTTTATGTGTTGAAGATGTTCTAGATTAAACGCCATTCCTTTCGAAAAGTTATTTATATTTTGTACTTTGCAGTTTTTGTTTAACTGTAAATATTTAGCAAGTCAGATAAATCTTATCAATATTAACATAACTAAAAACTAAAATTATTATAAAAAAAATTATCCTACAAGTTAAATTGCTTAGAGATTATTATTAAATTGAAATATTTTATTATACTTTGTACTACGTTTGTTGAATATTGCAACAAAAAAGTAAAAAATACAGTAAAAAAGAATACTCTTATGCTCAGACTTTCCATATTTTTTAAGTATAAATATGCAAGTATATGCATTTAAACAGTTTATATATGCAAATATATGCACTTATACAGTTAAAAAAATGCATACTTGCATCATAACAAGCAGGTCTTTAAAAACTTTTTTTTAAATTACTTCCAAAGAATTTTACTGCAAAAAAATATTTGCAAATTTCAGGTAATAAAAGCATGTATATATATATATATATATATATATATATATATATATATATATATATATATATATATATATATATATATATATATATATATATATATATACATACATAATCTCGATGATTCCAGGTCAAGCCTCACTCTTCTCAATGGTTTTCCTCACATTGTGCTGCTGCAATTGCCAATCGAAACCATTACTTCCATATCTATCAGCAAAACAATTCTCCAGAAAACAGACGTCTGTTTATTACTGCTAGAAACCATTGTAAAAAGGTTTTGTCTTACGCCAAAGCTCGCTATTCTCAGATCATGAAATCTCGTATTTCATCACAAAAATTAGACTCTCGTGACTTCTGGAGAATCTTTAATAATATCAATAATAAGGGCAAGTCTGTAATTCCACCTCTTTTGTTTGGTTCAGACTTTGTCACCTCACCTAAAGACAAAGCTGAATTGTTTGCCAAGATCTTTTCATCAATATCATCTCTTGATGACACTAGTTGCGTTCTACCTGATACAGCCGTTGAACAGGTTGATCCATTGCTCGACATTCGTATCACTCCAGCTTCTGTATCTAAAGTGATTTCCTGCTTAGACTCTTCTACAGCTTGCGGCCCAGACAACATACCTGTTATAGTCTTGCAGAAGTGTTCTCCGGAGCTGTCGTCTATCCTTTCAAAACTATTTAACAAGTGCTTATCAGAGTCTTGTTTTCCAGCCTGCTGGAAAGCAGCATCTGTTATCCCTATTTTTAAAAATTCTGGAGAGCGATCTGATTCATCTAACTACCGTCCCATTAGTCTTCCCGAGAAAAAAAACCCCGCTAATCATGTTAAGTTCCTAATAAGTTTCCTACTAAAACATAGTAAGTTCCCGCCGAGTACTTACTAGGAACTTAGTAGGATTAGCAGGTTTTAGTAGGAAACTTAGTAGGATTAACAAGTTTTAGTAGGAAACTTAGTAGGATTAGCAAGTTTTTAGTAGGAAACTTAGTAGGATTAGCAAGTTTTTAGATAGAAACTTAGTAGTATTACAGGGTTTTTACTCGGAACTGAGTAGGTACTTAACAGGATTAGTAGGTTTTTTTTTTCTCGGTTAAGTATTACTTTCTAGTTTTAGTTAATAGTTTTTTTAGTTAAATTCATGTTTATTAGGGTTTTATTTAATTATTTGAGTTTAAAAGATTTCATAGATATATTAGTAGGCTTGTTTTTCAAGAAATATACGAGTTTAAGTAAAAATAATAATTTTTACTTAAACACAGAATCTTCTTGAAAATATAATCCTTATAATATAACTTAACTAGTCGTTAAGCAATAAGGACGCTTATTTATGAAACAATAAAAATAACAAATAATTAATTGTTAGATTGTTTAACTAAAACATTAAAAAAAATACAATAAACAGCGATGGTCAGTTCTTTTGGTATTTTTCGCAGGTGTCAGTGGAATAATTGCACCCATAAGATTTTTCTTAATCTTTTACGACCATAACTGTAGCTATAACGTAATTTATAAAAATATTAATGTAATTCAACAACATAATAACATATATTTTATAACAAAAAAGCATATTTAACTTACTTAAATTTAGAACGATGAAAAAACTTTCATTATCATTGTTTCAAAGCTATTATATTCTAAAATTTCAAAAAAAAAAAAAGTGTATGAAAATATGAAACTAAGTTAAATTAAAAGAATTTAAATAAGCCTCGTGTGTGTATATACATATATATATATATATATATATATATATATATATATATATATATATATATATATATATATATATATATATATATATATATATATATATATATATATATATATATATATATATATATATATATATATATATATATATATATATATATATATATATATATATATATATATATAAAATATATATATATATATATATATATATATATATATATATATATACATATATATATATATATATATATATATATATATATATATATATATATATATATATATATATATATATATATATATATACACATATATATACACATATTATTTTTATATACATATAAAAAAAAGGAAAATTTACAGTTGACAAAAAACAATTAATAATTGTATCTAAAATAAATATTTAATTACTTTAATAGATATTAATCGCATCCACCTGTTATCCGCGATAACAGGTGGATATGATTTCTTTTCTCTTAACAAATTTATTTAATTCTTAAAAGAAACACTACACAAAGTCAAGATGGTACAAAAAGAAATCTGTTTTAGATCATTGTAAACAACAAACTCTTGTCGCCATTATGAATTAAGTTTGATGTTTCATTAATTAATTGATTGCAAACAGAATCCTAAATAACAACTTCTAATAAAAAAATTATTGTAAAGTAAATATATAATAATACAAAAAAACATAATACAATTTCAAACTTTAAAAAATAGAAATAAAACCTAATCATGTTCATAATTATTTTGAATAACAACACTATAATAAAATTTCTTTGTTTTTTTTACAAGAGCGTAGTGAGTAAATTTGCTTGAATCAAAAACAGCTAATCCACACTTTTTCAACAATGAATAAGGAGATATTTTTGACAAAACATGCTTGATTTTGATAGGAATATTAAAAGAATCCATATGACGATAAAACTTACTTACATTTTTATACAATCGACATATACACAAGATTTGTCTTTGGTTATGTGCAATGAACAAAATTTTCACAATCACATTAAATTCTATTAAATATGCATAATATGAAGCTGATTTTAATTTTTTACCATAATGATAAGCATGAAAAGTTCTATCAGCAACTCTAAAACGGTTATAAAACTGATAAAGATTTAGGTCAACATTTAAATCATTCAAATCCATATTCCGCAACTTATCTGATATATTTTATGCTGCACCTAACACAAAAGGATTCAAAGAAAAAGTATTTAAGTGGTCTTCCGTCTGAAATCTAATAAATTTTTCAGCCATTTGCCTTCCATGGCCTTTAGTTCCTGTAACAGCCCTCTTTAGTTGGCGATTTACATTTTCAAACACCATAGCAGACGTTGCTGTAAGAGGTCCAAAATTTTTTACCTGGTCAGAGAGATGCGCTAATGCATGAAAAGTGAATGTGCGAATACCTTCACCGAAATAGGAGCATAATGCCTTTTGAAATAAATAAACTAGTTGCTGACAAGCATCAATATCATTTGATGAAACAATTTCATTGGATAATGTATAAATAGATGTTGAAAGCATTAAATAAAGAGAACAAATTTCAGCATTACCAAGTTTGTAAAAAACAAATGGCCCATAATACAATAGAAAATACTTGTGCTCTTGAGCTTTCCACTTAACAAGTTCATTATTCAAATTTTTTTGGCTTGTGTCGAAAAAAATGTGGCAATTTTATGGAGTCTATTAGACTAAAAAGATCTAAAAGACTTTGATGAACATCTTTTTATATAAGAAAAAATCCTCATAAATTTTTCTTAGTTTTTATTTTTTTATTTTGTCTATTTCAAAATTATCATTTTTTTATTTATCAAAATAATAAATATTTGTCAGGTGGACAAAAAAATTACTTTTGCTACTTGTTACAAAGATTTAGGTCAGCAGTTGCATACCGGCATGAAGCAAAAATAGGTTGACTTTTGCGTTGGCATTACCAACCTGAATTTTGCAGGATATATATATATATATATATATATATATATATATATATATATATACACACTCAAAAAATGTCAAGTTCATTTAAATTCAACATGATTAATGAATGATTATGCATAATCACATTATATATAAAGAAACAGAAAATAAAATAGTTACCTGAAGCTGATTGATTGTACATGGTTTGAGATGGAACTAAACATAGTGTGTGTGTTTATTTATATATATATATAAATATATATATATATATATATATATATATGTTTTCATTTTCCTATAAAAAGTTTGCTTTTTCCCGTTTTGCAACCCTTGATTGGTTGCAAAATACAACTACGGCGTATCAAATTTAAATTTTAGTATTTGCCTATATTTTACTATGAAGCATTATTCTGACTAAATAAATATATTTAAACCTTCATTTTCCAACAATTTTTTTCAACAAATTAAAAAACAATATTAAAGAATAAAAAAACAAAAAACAATTTGCTTACATTCAAAAGTTTGATATTTAACATTTTTATACACTAAATAATATTTAATAAGTGATTTTTAGTTTAATAAATAATACACTGAATAATATTTGATAAACAGCGGTGGCCTAACTAGCGAGGAGTACACTGCTGCATAGTGGACTGGGAGGATTTATAGAGCTAAAGGAGTTCCGGACCTTTTATTTCCAATATTGCTTTGGGTTTTTTTAAAAAAAGAACTTTCATAAAATTCTTGCGGGTCGGGGCAGAGTTTGTAGTTAGCCACTCATAAATAATCAATGAATAAAAAAGCAATTAAATTGCAAGGAAAACTAATTTTTCATTATTTCGATTTGTTTTGTGCTTTGAACTTCTCGGTAATTGTTTTGTCAGGTCAAATAAAAATTTTCCATAAAAGTATCTAGAAGCCTATTTGTTGCTTGTTGCCCATTTGTCCACCTTGTAAATATAATTATTACGCAACTGTGTACATCTCATACAATATATATTTTTCTGCCTCACTCACAATTATTTTTGTTTATGTCGTATCCAGTATTCTATATATCTATCGTCATTTAATGAAAATAATTAAAAGACAATAGATAACCGTCTTTTTAGTTAAAATAATTAAAAGACGATAGACAAAATCATTTAACTTCACCTGAAAGTGGACGATAACAACTACAAAAAACCTATATATACATACATATATATATATATATATATATATATATATATTATATATATATATATATATATATATATATATATATATATATATATATATATATATATATATATATGTATACATATATATATTTTTATATATGTATACATATATATTTTCCTTATAGAATTACAAATATTAATTAGTAAAACTACTGAATCTAAAAAAGCTGTTTTATGGCTGACTTGTTTTCCGTGTGAATAAATAAAAGATGGCGTATAACAAAGACGATTTTTTATACTTGTTTTATTTTTGAAAACTTACTAGGAACTTACTAAGTAATTCGTTTAATCCTGATAAGTACTTAGTAGGAACTTACTAGGATTAGCAGGAAATTCATAAACGTCACTTCACTAATGGGAAACTTAATAGGTTTAGCCGTATTAAGCGAAAACTTACCAGGATTAGCCGTATTAGCAGGAACTTAACAGGATTAGCAGGAAGTTAAACATATTCCTAGTAGTATTAGCGGGTTTTTTTTTCTCGGGTTCTTCCTATCATAAGCAAGGTTTTTGAATCTTTAATTAACAAACACCTAATCTCTCATCTCGAATCTCATAACTTACTGATCATCAATATGGATTTTGATCTTCTCGTTCTACGGCTGATTTGCTATCAGTAATAACCGATAGGTTTTATCGCGCATTAGATAAAGGTGGAGAGGTTAAGGCCATCGCTCTTGACATTTCTAAAGCGTTTGATAAAGTTTGGCATGCTGGTCTTCTCCATAAGCTTTCTTCTTATGGTGTATCTGGAAACATCTTTAAGATTATTGAATCCTTTCTTTCCAATCGTAGTATAAAGGTTGTCCTTGATGGACAACACTCTTCTTCTTATTCTGTAACCTCAGGGGTTCCCCAAGGTTCAATCCTTGGCCCTATACTCTTTTTAATTTACATTAACGATCTTCCAGATATTCTCACATCTAAGGTGGCATTGTTTGCTGATGATACTACCATTTATTCTTGTCACGATAAGAAGCCAACTCCCTCTGATTGCTTGCAGGGGGCATCTGAGCATGAAAAGGATCTCACTTCTGCTACAGCATGAGGCTCACAGTGGCTGGTGAACTTTAATTCAGATAAAACTCAATTTTTTTCGGCCAATCGTTATCGCAATAATTTAGACCTTCCTATATTTATGAACGGTAATGTACTCGATGAGTCTCCTACCCTTCATCTTCTAGGATTAACTCTTACTTCTGATCTTTCTTGGAAACCTTATATCAAATCCGTTGCAAAATTAGCATCTGCTAAAGTTGCTTCTCTTTATCGAGCTCGTCACTTTCTTACTCTGGATTCTATTCTCTATTTCTATAAATCTCAAATCCGGCCTTGTATGGAATACTGTTGTCATATCTGGGACGGATCTTCTAATGATGCCCTTTCTCTTTTAGACAAGGTGCAAAAAAGCATTGTAAACATAGTTGGACCTACTCTTGCAGCCAACCTTCAACCTCTGTCACATCGTCGTAATGTTGCTTCATTTTCTCTTTTCTACAAATACTTTAATGGGCACTGCTCGAAGGAGCTAGCGTCTCTTGTGCCATCTACTAAAATTCATTCTCGTGATACTCGTCATTCAATCAAGTCTCATCCTTTTTCTGTTACTGTTCCTAAGCGTTCCAAAAACTCTTATTCGTCTAGTTTTTTTCCTCGAACATCAATTCTTTGGAATTCACTTCCTTCATCTTGCCTTCCTGATTCATATAATTTGAAATCTTTTAAGTCGTCTGTCAATCGTTATCTTGCTCTACAATCTTTATCTTTTCTCTTCCAGTAACTTCCAACACTAATTAGTGGTTGCTTGCAGCCTTATTGTAAGCGAAGATAATTAAAAAATATATATATATATATATATATATATATATATATATATATATATATATATATATATATATATATATATATATATATATATATATTTATATACAAATATATATTATATGTGTGTGTACAATAATAAACACACATAATGTGTATTATTGCACACACATATACATATATGTATGTATGTATGTATGGAAGAACTAATACCGCCTTACCGAACCGTGCACGACTTTACGCGACTCCTTATCGACTCCTTTTTTTTTTTTATCGGCTCATTCAAGTGGTTCGATAATTTTTTTAACTTAGGGTAATTCGGGGCAGTACGAGACACTTAAGTATTAAAAATTATGTAAATAGACCTGGAATTAAGCAAAAAACTAAACAAGAGTACAGTAAATCTTACTTAGGGTAACTCTTTTAAAAACTTATAAGTAAATTTTTAAATTCATTTTTAATTGGATACATAGAGGATTTTATAAATAACAACAGCGTGTCTCATGTTCCCCACTTTACGGGGCAAAACGAGACAGCATATGTTATGTAACTAAAGAAAAAAAATAAGAGACTTATCCAATTATTTTTTATCATAAAAGATGTTAAATATAATTCATAAAAAATATAGTAACTTTAGCTTAAAAAAATAACCTGCTTGGTTAATCTAACCACAGTTAAGTAAGACTTAAAAAACATAGGTTAAAGTTAGAGATTAAATAATAAACATAGATAATATTAAATATTAAACATAGATATTAAACGTAGTTCAAACTTAAGCACCACCCAAACAAATTGTTGCACAAGTTATACTCAACTATGACATAAATTAATGGATCATAGAATGTTTAAATATAGTCATGGCACACACACAGTTTACACAAAAATCTGTCCCTAACTTAACAAAATAAACTTCATGGTACCATAATTTACACCTAAAGCATTGGACACATTTCTGGCTAGACTCTGATATTTTTTGGTTTTCTCCATATTTAATTTTATCATCTTTTTTTAGTTTAATCTTTTTTTCTGATGGTCTTTTTTTGTTGTATTTAATTTTTTTTTTGTTTTCCAACCCCTCCTGCAAAGTTTTTTTATACGATGTGCTAGTCAAAATTTCTGACTTTTCTCCCTTTCTTTTTGTTGTCTTCACATCAATAGCTGGAATTAATAATATATCAGTAAAAGAAAGCTGTTGAGAGTTTGAAATTGACAACGAGGCATTTATTTTATTAACTGAAAAACTAGCAATGGATGTTTGGACATTCAAATTTTGGTTCGGCCCAATTAAAGAATTAGTTGTAGATGATTGTTCAGGATTTATATCTGCTATTTCATTAAACATTATGTTTGTATTACTATCTTTTAAACATGGTTTTTCAAAATAATCTGACTCAGGAAGGATTTCTCGATTAAAAGGATTGATGCCTGTTATTCGAAACACAGAAATAGCATTTTCCATTATAGCTGCTTTCACATAAGCTTGAAAAAATAGTCCTGAAAGTTTATCAACTGTAATTCTTCTTCCTGGGTGCTTTCTTATCCATGTTGTGCATACTAAGTTATAAGCACTTTTCAAAGATTTGAACAAAGTTCGATCAAGTGGTTGGAGCTCATGGGATGTATGTGGTGGTAGTGATAAAATATGCAATCCATTTATGCTAGCATAATTGAGAAGATCAAGATTTTTGGTGTGTGATTTGTGACCATCAAGAATTAACAAACACTTATTTGTAGTGCTACAATTTCCATGTATTACAAATTAATCATAGGAGGTATGTAGTGTCCCACTCAATTAAACGCTATTATAACAGTTATTGTTTGGCCTCTCTCACCACTAGTTACTGAAGATACAACACGTTGGCCTGTGAAAATACAATTATAAAAATATAGACAATACAAAATAAAAATAAATACAGACACACAAATAATAACTTGGTTTTTCACTAAAGCAAATAAAAAAATTTGCAACTTCTCGCTTATTACCTTTATGAGCTATTACTTTTAAAGGCTTGTGAACACATAATGTGTTATCCAAATTCATCACAGTTGTAAATGTGATTTGCTTCAAATTGGTTTTCGTTAATAAGTTTTTCCAGATTGTCAAAATATCTTTGAACAAAAGCCTTATTTAAACCCAAAACTCGATTTATGGATACTGCCTCAGGTTTTCGAATAGACAAAAAAGGTTGTCGTTTCAAAAATCCAACTATAAAATCTCGACCTGCAAGTTTCTTTTCAGTAATAAATAGATGGTTTATTTTATTGCGTGCAACATAGTCATACACCACCCTTTGAAGTTCATTAATTGATAGACCATAAAAGACTAACTCCATTTTGATTATATACTGTGCTAAATCTTTTTCTTGGGCATCAGATAACATTTTTCTATAAGAACCAAGCAATTTTATGTGTGGTTTATCATCAGGCATTGTTTTTATTGATTTATTAACTCTTAAGTTGAGAGAATCTTTTAGAACCGAATATTCATTAGCAGCTTTACGTAATGTCATTTCTTTATTTTTGACAGCTTGGATAGCTAATTTCATATTGCTTTCATCCCAATTTCCACAATTTGTTTTTCGTTTGTAATTTCTAACCATCATAAAAAACATAAAATGTTTACAAAATTTTTTTTGATTTTTCTCATCTTTCCCACAAAGATGTTAAAAACATAAAATTTACTTATTTTTAGAAATAGTTTAATACTGTTTTAAATATAGTTTTGACAATAGAGCTTATTACCCCCTTTGTACAAAGGGGGAGTAATTTTGCTTAACAGTTGTTTAGCAAAATGGTTCAAACATATAAAAAGGGAGAGGAACTAGGAAGGAAGTTATATGCGACTAGCCAGGCAATGATAGATGCCTACAGGCAAGCAAATGTCTGCCAACCATGCTTTTTTTCATTATGGAGTTGATAAAAAAGGCTCTTTTAAGGAGAGTGCGAGGATGGGGCTGATATTGAATGGCTGATATTCCATGACTGGTATTCCATTGTTTTAATATCAGCCCCAGATGGGGCTGATATTGAAGCCGTGGAATGGATCTGTGAGATTTGCTTACAAACAATGTGAAAATAAATGTTTAACATCTGGAGCTTATTGCCCCCATTTTTTAAATCTTGAGTCATTGTTAGTTGTAACTTTTTTGTTTTTTTTTCACAGTAAGATTATAAATTTTTCTGATTAAAGCTATTGTACTTAAAGAAATATGTGTCGTCTATTACTTTAAAACATTTTCAGTATAAATTTAATATTTTTTTACTTATTTCAAATAGAAGAAATGAAAGTTCTTGAAAACATGGAGCTTAATGTCCCGCTTTACCCTATACATATTTATAAAATATATATACATATTTCATAATATAAATACTATTTTTCCTAATATATATATTATATATATATTAGGATAAATAATATTTATATTAAACAATGTATATATATTTTTTATGAATATGTATAAATATATAATATATGTATATATAATATATATATATAATATATATATATATATATATATATATATATATATATATATATAAATATATATATATATATATATATATATATATATATATATATATATATATATATATATATATATATATATATATATATATATATATATATATATATATATATATATATATATATATATATATTATAT